CTCTCTGAGCCATTTTCAAGGAGGAAACAGGCACAAAGGAACAAGAACACATCATGAAGGTATTTGGCATAAAAGCATTTGCAGGGAAAAGGACAGCTGTGAATGAGCCGAACCCTCTGTGAGCAGCACCGGGACCTCGGGGTCCGGCGTGAGTGACAGGAAGGCGCAGGGTGTGCCTCACGGAAAGTCTTCCACGCTCCGTTCCCGCGCCATTTTCAAGGAGGAAACAGGCACAAAGGAACAAGAACACATCATGAAGGTATTTGGCATAAAAGCATTTGCAGGGAAAAGGACAGCTGTGAATGAGCCGAACCCTCTGTGAGCAGCACCGGGACCTCGGGGTCCGGCGTGAGTGACAGGAAGGCGCAGGGTGTGCCTCACGGAAAGTCTTCCACGCTCCGTTCCCGCACCTCCTCAGCAGGTTCTGCCTGGCTCCACTCTTTGGAGACAACCTAAAATGAAAATCAGGTTGTGTGTCCCCTGTCGGCACTCAACAAGATGGACTGCTCAGGGAGCGCACGTGTACCACCCTCTGTTCTGTCTGAATTATGATGTCTCTGGCTCTGGATTTGTGCAATATGTTATCCAGGTAGCTGAGCCGGATGCGGGTGTAAATTCTTCAGAGGCTCCAGGTGAGCGCTGTCCGCAGCTGGGGATCAAGGACGGCGTAGTGTTTACCGAGCTCAGTGCTGGTGTCATTTCCTCCTGAGGGTTATAGCCGTCCCCAGCCTTTAACACGTCGGTTTGAGCTCATGGAGCAGTGGTTTGCTATTATAATACTTCACTCTATGTACTTTAAATAACCAGAAACCAGTTTTTGATATAGGAGATATTTCAAAGCAAATGCTGGAAATAGTCTATGTTTTTTTTTCTCATGTTTCCTGAAATGAGAAATCGATTGTCTTTTTAGAAATGACAGCTTTCTAAACCCTCAGGTAGCTGAAATTAGAATAACACAATCATCCATCTGTTGTTAGCTCCCCCAGGATTTCATTCCATTATAAAATTTGCAAAAGTGGAAAAATCAGCTTAGTGTGGCTATTTATACCGTTCAAGAGAGAGGAAAGAATAAACAGACCAAGCTTGCACATTCGCAGTGTGCATGCCACGTTCCAGTCTCCACAGACATGGCTCTTTGTCAGCTTTTGTTGGAAGCAATTGGGGCTTTTCCCCGCTGTAATTGCTTCTTTGAAATGACAAATTAAGAAGCCATTGCAGGGGAGCAGATATCTATATTTTCTCTTTTTTCTTCATGATGCTAGTTAACCAAAAGGCTGGAAAAAAATGAGAAAATCTATTGTTTCACCTTTTGAATATTAAAATATAGTCTTAAAATTTAATATATCATCTAAGCACCTTTTATGTGGTCTTTGAATGCTGACAGACACACTCTGTCCCCCTCTGCGTGTGAAACGTGGCCCTGGCAGGATGGCTGTGTGCACCAGGGTAGGGTGAGGCAGCAGATGGAGGCAGGACAAGGACCTTGGCAGGATGAGGAGCTAGCGGCCCCGCCCGGGCTGTTCTGTCTCTGGAGGCCTCGCTTTGTCCTTGGTGGGCTGCTGTGCCGTGGTCTGTTAGAAGGCCTCCCGGGTGGGCGGTGAGCGCAGGAGTGGCACTGGCTCCATGAGGAGTTGGGACAGAAGGAGGCAGAGCCGCAAGGCCTCCAGGCCAGGCCCGCAGAATCGCAGTGGGAGGAACAGTGACTTTCTCCAGGTGACTCCGCTGCTCGCAGGTGCCCGATGACAGCTGTGGAGTGAGTTTGCCAGAGGAGCAGGAGCACAAGACGACTGAGAAGGCGGCCCACGCCCACCGATGCCTGGGGAGGTGGAAGGATGAGGAGGAAGGGGCCACTGCGATTTTTGGGGTGCAGAGGCCTCTGCGGGGCTCTGGGGGAGTGGCGCATGGCCTTGTCCTCAGTGCAGGCTTTACTTTTATGAAAAAGTTTTTCCACGTCGTTAACCAAGTGCAGGCAGAATACATTTAATTTTTTTTACTGCTGTTCTATGTGCTAGCTTTGCAGACCAAAAGCAGAACAGAAACTATTACCAGAGTGAGTGATCACAGTCCATGTGAAGTAAATTTTATCACCTTATTTCATCCTGAGGTTATTCTCTTCATAATTAAAGTGGATTATATCAGATACCTCCGGCTTCACATTAAAGGGTGCAGAATCTTAAATGGGATCCGTGTTGTCAAGTGAGCGAGTGTGATGCTGTGGATGACATTGGTGGACCCTTTTCAGTCACTCACTGTGCTCTTCACTATGCCTTGAGGAAGTGGGAGCTATAGCATCTATTTATTATTTGACCTTAGGAGATGCCTGAAGTCCATGTCTGCGTCCTTCTCTCCCCTCATCCAGTTTGGTATCTCAAGTGCGGTTTCTTCTGCTTCTTCGTCTCCCCTCTCCCTTGTTCATCCGTCATGCAGACTGTCAGTAGATCGTTGGCTGTTGGCCTGAGAAGTTCAGCAGAATCCCTCAGAGACACCCACTGGTCATGCCCATAGTGCTTTAGAAGAGTCAAAGCGTGCACCTCAGGCCACACGGAGAACCGGATCGCAGTGCACATGGTGGCCCCTCTGCCACGTTGCTCCCTCACTCGGTTCCTCACTGTCCTGTGGTGGGATCCACTGCATTCGGTAGGACGCGCGGCTCTAGGATCTCATTCCTAGTTCCTGCCCTGCCCACTGCCCACTCCTCCCGTGCAGTTGAGGACAGCTTGTATGCTCTGGAGGGGACACGTTCTTGCCAGTACAGCACACAGCTGCCCCTGAAGGTGAGCGATCACTTCCCGTGGTGAATGGAGTTGTTCTCTGTGCCCTGAAATTCTGCTTTCATCTCAGCTCATCTTGTCTGGCAGCGCCTCCCAGAAATCCCACTGTGTCACTGTGTCACAGGATGACGGCCGACAAGATGTCTGCTCCAGGGCTGTTGAAACGAAGAGTCAGAATTTGTATATTTATTTTCGTAAAGCTACTTACATCGAACAAAATTAGCCAATGTCACCAACAAAATAGAACCAAAGTTTTACGTTATTTAAATTTGAAAGACTAGGATGTAATTTGGCATAAAGATCACCAGGAGTGGATTCAGGTAAAGAAACAGAAGGACCCTCATGGTCAGGAGCCTTAGGGATTTAACCTGATTATTTTGCTGTGGACATTTACACAGCTGTGTTTGATTTATGGCTAGGTTTTCAAAATGCTTTGATAGGATTGCAAAGTTGCAATTATGGTTAATATATGAAGCATGATTGATAGTTTCTAAATTAGCCAACATGACTGAGAGTAAGCACTGGTACCAAGTCATGAAAACCCAAGGGAAGCCTTTTTAAATTGTGCAGGGAGAAAAGCAGAATCTCTACCTCCCACTAACAGGGCAAAGCTGAGCTTCGTAATCCATCTTCTTCCTCCCTTTTTGTTCTTTACAGAGTGTCCTTCCTTCCCCTGTAGCCCTAGGGCATCAGGAGCCCCAGGATTAACAGGGAGGAAGAACTCCCTGCCCACTCCAGTGTGGACCCTGGCTAGCGCTGAGGAGGCCCTGCGCCCGGCATTCCCATGCGGCCCCTTTCTCCAGGGGCAGAAGCGCATCTTGGAACACAGTGGTAGTTGCAAGTATAAGGACGTTCTCCCCTGTGGAAACTGCAGCCTAGCAGTACATGGCTAAGACTCAGGAATAGTTTTGAAGGAATTGGCCAAGCAATTTTTCAAACTTTTTTTTTTATCTTTTAAAGTGTATTTTGGTTTTATTTTTCTGTAAAATAGCAGTCGACGGCCAAGGGTTTAGCTAAGTGGCACCATGCAAGGTCCTGAGTTTGATCCTGGTACCAAAGAGAATAAAAGAAAAAGTAGCAGTGGCGCAGTGGATGTATGTTGAGCAGCTGGCCTGGACTCCCTGAGATGCGGGTGGTGCTGTGGCTTGAGATTTTCAGGGCCAAGGCCATGGAAGTCCAGGCAAAGTTGGCCAAGTTGGCTCCCGAGACTCTGGCTCACAGTTCAAAGAGCAGGTACCGGGCAGCCCTGGTCTTGGTGTGATTTCCCCGTCTCCCTGTACTTTAGGGCTCAGCTCATACGCCAGTTGTCCCTAACCCCCAAATCCTGTCCTCCCCGTTCCCACTGACCTCACACTCCATCCCAACGTTACCTGCACAACGCGGAAGGGTTCTCAGGCTCTGCTGTCGGATTTCTGTCTTAGGCCCCGGCCTCTCCAGGGGCTGTAAAGTAACAGCGAGGGTTTTGGGGAGGGAGGTGGACAGTGTGCGCCGCTGTGTGCCATGAGGGGAGCTGGAGACAGTGGGCTCCACGCCTGGCCTTGCTCCTCCGGAGGACTGTGGTTGTGATCGTGTGTGCGCACGCGTGTGTGCTCGTGCCGTGCTTTCTTTAGCCACAACTTGAAAGTTTCAGCCGCACCCTGGGTGCTGCGGGTCACGTCCTGGCTTGTCTGTGACGGTCCACCAGAGGCGTCTGGGAGCCAGTCCAGACTCCGGGCCTCTCTCGCCTTCCATGCGGGACAAGTCCTTCACCTTTGTCCTGGGTCATGCTGTTTCTGTTCACTGACCGTGGGGATTCTTACTGGAAGATTCCGCGTGGGCTGCGCGCGTCTGTCGGTACCTGAAAGTCTGCACACATGTTACATGACGAAGCAGTGTTTCTAAGTCACCTTCCAGGTCAATGGCCTTCTGGTTTTGTTCATAGCCAAGTAAATTAGATGGTTGAATACTCTTGTTCTATATTTAATATGCTTTAAGTGCTAGTTATGGGAGAAAAATCACTTGTAAAAAGTATTTTTAAAAAAAATAAGGCAAAGCAATTTAAAAGGAAGAACAGTAAAATCAATGTACTCACAAATATGTACATCACACGATCTCAATATCCTATTCTCTTGTTTATGAACAGTAGGTTACATAATGAAAATCTTAATGAAAAGCTTCCTGTTAATTCCTTTGAACATGTAACCGACAGCTCCTAGAAGAACACATTCATCAGTGTTGGCCAAATTCACGCTAAAATATGTAAAAATACCAATTTCATCAGTTTCAATGAAAATGTGATTATTACCCAGACTTAACCGTTTTGATGGCCCCGCTTTCTGTTGTTTTAGCCACTGATGCCGACGTGAGGAGCGACAGCCTCTCGTCCATGTGGGAGCTCGGCGTGAAGCTGACGGTGAGGTGCGTGATGTGCGCGTTCCGCGGCCTCGCTGGGGAGCCTGACAGGAGCTTAGCCTGGTAATGCGCAGAGATTTTCGCTGGGAAGATGGCAGCCTTGTCTGCGAGGGAGCAGCAGCGATTCAGCCTCTCTGCCTGCATCAATTCTGCTCCCAGGATCCCGGAGCCCATGCGGGTGGGCGGTACCAGGCCCTGTGCTGCCACCTCCCCATCCGCCTGTGATGCTCCTAACGGTCACACGGTGGCAAAGAGGACAAAAGTATCTTCGGGACAGAGTCAGGAGTTAAAATGAAGGCACCGAGGGGTTGTCACTCGAATTTCTGGGCACGCCAGATCACGGACAAGGAGTTCAGGAGCGAGCCCCTGGGGCCTCTTTTTCCTGCAACACCCAGTTTAATTGCAGGGTCGTCTTCAGAATCACAGAAATCACCCACCCTTGAGTGGTGTCAGAGAGGCTGAGAGTCCGGGAAACCTGCAGCAGGATGAGATGGCTGCGTTCATTCCAGCCCATCCGCCTCCTGCTGTGTGGATGCTCCAGACCCCTGCAGTGCTGCACGTCCCTTCTGACTCTGCCTGTCGGGTGTGGACACAGCGCGGAGTGCGCCCGAGCTGGCTGACCCGGGACAGCGCTGCAGCTCACAGCCTGGCTGTGCTCTGCTACCTCGTCGCCCCAAGCCCTGTCCACTGACCGACTTTACAAGAGGGGAACCAGGCCCCCGCGAGATTTCAGACAAGACCAGTGGACTCTCGTGTGACTTGATACCGGGGATTGAACCCAGAGCCTTTACACTGAGCTCCAGCTCCGGCCCTGTTTATGTTCTGTTTTGAGGCAGGGTCTTCCTAAGTTGCTCAATGCCCAGAGTAGGCTCAACCTTGCAGTCCTCCACATGTGCACCATCACACCCAGCTACAAAAGGACTGTTTCACCTTAATTAACACATAGTTATTTTCCGTGTGTATTTAAAATGTTTTAGTTTTTCATTAGTCTCTTATCTTCCTGTAAGGTTATTAGTGTTTACTTGGTACGTACTGCTAAGCCTACTTTGTCATAACACCAGGAACGAGTGCTGGGGTTCATCCTGTTTAACACAGTTCTGCTAAAAGTAGGATCTTGAAGACTGAAGCCTTGACATCTCAAGGGGATGCACTTTGATGGATTTTTAAAAAAACAGTGAATGTGCAATTCAGAGCCTGATCATTTTCACTTTATGCTTTCAATGCAGGTATGGCCAGTTCCTGGGCTTGTTAAAAGATGGTGCAGAAAGCGACCTCACCTTGCTTTTGAAACACTGTGAGCGGTTCCTGAAGCAGCAGCAAACACCCGTGAAATCTCCTCTTCGTATCCTTTTGAATAGATTCACAAGAGCTGAACTGTCTTCTTGTATTGTTCATATTTCTTTGATAAGATACCTTAACACATAGTAAATAACACTTTAAGCTGCACTGGTGATTTGCTGTGATCTATCCAGATGGTATTTTATTCTGTATTTTAAACATAAATTTTCTTAAATGGTCATAATCAGTAGAGTCAGTCATACTCATTGAGTCTTAACTGAATAATTAATTACAGTGCGTTTTCAGACATACCTAAGGACATTTTAAAAATACATTTTGAAGAGCCAGAATAAGGGTAATACTGCTGCTTTCCCCCAGTCCACCCATGTTATTTTGTTTGACTTCGTTATCGTCCTGGGATGGAGTTTGGCTTGGAGAAAACAGTGCATTGCTGGGCCAGCTCTGGAGCTGGACAGGTGCTGTCCCTGTGGCTCATGCCACGGGCGCCTCGGCCGTGGTGCTGGCCTTGGCTTCTCCCGGACCTGGATTTTAAAACAGTGTTACGATAGCAGCTGTGGGTGCCTTGAGTTCCTCTCCTAACCTGGATCTCACTGCAGTAGCGTGTAGCCACTGAAGGGGCTCCAGGCCTGGTGAGCATCTGTGTGGGTGGGGCCCTCTCATCTGTCCAAGTCTGAGCCCCAGAGGTTCCTTGACGCGTGCCCAGTCTGCCTGCAAGGGGCTTACGCCGGCCACGACTGGTTTGTGTCCTCGCTGTTCCTCATGCTGTCGGGGGACCGAGAGAAGACGCTGCGGTTTCTCCTGCGCTTCTCCAGGCTGCTGGCCTCCGCCTTCCTCTGGCTGCCGCGCCTGCACCTCTCGGTGAGCTGCTGAGCTTGGAGTTTTAAGAAGCGTCGATTTAACTTCACTGGGGTGTTATTTTCTTTCAGACAGGTCTCCGATCGTTTCTGTTCACTTTCCTACCAGAACAGAATCTCTTGGAAAATGTGTGGTGTCTTATCTGATAGAGTCAAAGATACAGATGAAGCATTTTTATGAAGTGGAAGCATGATAGTAAAATAGAAGTTTAACACTAGCTAATATTTAATAATTATAAACTTATTACAAACCTAGTTAAATTCTGGATGTAAGAAAACTGTTGAATGGATTTTTTGTTATTTTGTTAGACTCTCTAGTTGGTTAAATCAGTATAAGAAAATCATTTATTAAGTAGAAATTGTAACTGTGTTTCATAGAGGAAAAGAACTACCTATTTTAAAAAAATTTTATCTCAATATTTAATTTTTTAAAAATAATTTATTGGTACATTCTAGGTAGACAGTACAGTTACATTCATTACTGGGATCTTGTGCCTTTACATGCCAGGTCTTGGTTCTCATTTTTTCCCCTTGTCCCTGCCCTCCCTTCACCCCCTCCTGCCCTCCCCCCCTCAAATGCTTTAATTCCCTTTTTACATTTTCTCATATTTTTTTCCTTTTCCCTTGTTCCCCTTTCCCTATCCTTCTCACTGTCCGTACACCTTTGGTCCTTTTCTTCCTATTTGCTAATTGCCCCGTGTTTATAGCGGCACAGTTTGTAATAGCTAAAACATGGAAACAGCCCATCTGCCCATCAGTTGGAAACTGGATAAAGAAGATGTGGTTTTTCTATGAAATGGAATACTACTCAGCCATAAAGAATGAGAAAGTAGATTCATTCATAGGTAAATGGGTACATTTTGAGGATATACTTCTAAGTGAAATAAAGTCACACATATGCAAATACTGAAGTTTCTCTAGTGTGAATTACCTATTTTTTATACATTTTGCAAATCTTGAGTTTTATTGAGGTATTGTAAATATATTTGATAAAATTTGTTAGTCTTATGAGATCTCAGCAATTATGTCAGCAAAAAGTGTAGCCCTAATTAACTGATTAATGTCGCTCTTTATTTGACTTTCTTACTTACTGCACTGTGCTTAGATCTGCAGCTAGGAGAAGCGGCCGCTACCTCAGCTACTCTGCCGCCCGTGCTGGGCTCCTGGGGACAGGAGCAGGGCCGGGCGGGAGCTGGTGTAGATTTGTATGTGCCTGTCTGTGGGTTTATGCCTGTGCTCATATAGTTGCCTCCAATGGTGGAAACAAAACCAAGGCACCAAGGAATAAATTAAGTTTGAGATTTTATGATTTAATGCTTGGAATGTCCGTATGCATTCCTGAGTAAGACCTTCCAGTTCTTGGTCTTCACATAGTAATTTTCCTCCCATGAACCGTAGGAAACAGATACCACCAAAGTATGTGCAGTCTTTCATCAAAGAAACTATTTTCTACTGTAAACCAAAATCTTGAGTAAGGTTGTAATCTTTAAATTTGAAAGATTTTAAAAATGTTATACCTACTCTTCCATTTATAAACTCGATTTTCAAAACTTATTGATAATCTGTATGGACTTAATTCCAAACATTTGTTTTCATGTCAGACATTGCTGGCCCTAACACCTCTGCTTTATGGCTCAGACTGTACCTTGGACATTGCCGGTGAAGTAAATGTAACCCTGGTTGCCTACACGTGCATTTCTACTTTGAACCTGTAAACTTTTAAATAGCATATTATTTTTTTAAATGAATTTTATTGGTATATTGTAGGTATATAATATGATGACATTCATCATTGGGAATTTGTACCTTTATGTGAAATATCTTTCATTTGGTACCGGAGGTCAAACTCAGGTCCTTGCATTTGCGAGGCAGGCAGTGGAATCACTGAGCTAAATCCTCGGCTCTGTGCAGTATGTCTTGGTTCTTATTTTTCCCCATACCCCTGCCCTTCATCCCCACTCCTCCCTATTTACAAAGATTCGGTTTCCTTTTTTCCCTTTTCTCATATTAATTCATTCCCTTCTTTTCTTTCCTCACCCCTCCCACTCCCAGCATACCATTTTATAGTAGCAGTTGTTTTCTGTTCTTGTTAAACCGAACCCAAGGCAGGGTGTTGGCAGGCTGGCTTGCTCAGCACCCTTGCAGTTCTGGCCCAGAATGACATTCCCGGCCCGGTTCGGAATCCATTGTCTGGCTGCAGCGTGGACTGCCCTTCTCCAGCCCAAACACACAGGGCTGAGTGTCTGTTGCCGTTTAGTAAAGCAAGAGACATTCCGTGATGATGCCTCCTGAGAAGCTGTGTTGTGAGCTGGTGGTGGGTATTCTTTGCAGCGGCCGTGCAGTCTGCAGCCACGCACCCTGGACTCCGCTCTTGGGGCCTGGGAGACCACTTGGTCCGGCTGTCAGCAGGGCCACACTGCAGGTCCGAGTTTGTGTGACCACCTGTGGTCCGCCTTTGCTGTGCCACGCGGCTCGGCACTGTGTATGGTGAGCGCTGCCGCGACACCCACAGATCCACAGCACGCTGTCTTTTCCGTGTCCTGTGCTCCGTGGTCCCCAGCCCTGTGGGAGGGCACTGCAGGCAACAGCTCGAGAGACCTGCAGCTGTGGGGACACCTCAGCTTCCGACGCTGACCGGAAACCTCCTGTCTCCTACAGCCGAGCTCACACTGCTGTGTTTGACCTCAAAGTCAGCCCACTCCCATCCTGTTTGCCCAGCTTCCCTCCTGTGCTCTGTGCTTTACTGCTTTTAATAGTTATATCAGCCCCTGATTAATATTGAGTTATATTTTTATTTATTACCCATGGTTTAAATGTGAGTTCTATGAGGACAGAGTTTTGTTCACTGATGTGATCGCAGCTATAGTCCATAGTAATCACTCAATAAATATATTTTAAATGTGAATTAATATTTAAATAGAAGTATGTAAGGGACAGTAGGCTTTTTCTCAAGTTCTGAAAAAAAAAAGCTATTTGATCATCTACACTGTTAATATATTAAATTATTTCAAGAAAGTTTTAAAATAAACATCATTAAACAGGAAGTAATGAAGTTTAATAAGTCAGGAAAATAATATGTTGAACTCAATATTCTGCAAACCTTGACCATACTACTCATGACATAAAAACAATTTGAAAATTTATCCTTTGAAGTCATTTAGACTGGAACAACCCTTTGATTAATTGTCTAAATTATCTTCAATTATTATTATTTTAAATTAAAAAGAACTTTCTAAATGATAACCTTCTTATGGAATTTCATCAAGAATCTGTCTGGCTAATTACTAACACTAAAGCTAATGACAAAATTACAGATTAAGAAAAATTAAGGAAGTCTTTCCATGTAGGAATACCTAATTTCAAATAATAATTATAATAAAAGTAACAAACTTACAGGCCTTCTCTTTTAGTACAGCATACAGAAAAGGAAAACATTAACTTAAATGAATCCCGAAGTATTTCTATGCATGTACAAACAGAGCAGCACTGACATGACATTGGGCCGCGGCGTGCTTGGATGACTCGGAACCCATCCGCAGGAGGGTGTGGGAGGCCACGGAGGATCCTCGCGGGGGCGCCAGCCCACCCCGCCAGCCTTCTGGGCGGTCAATCACTGGCCGACTTTACATCTGGCTTCCTCCTGTTTGAAGATTCTGCTTCCCTGTTTTATTCCGTAGGGGAAAGGCTGTTTCCGAGCGGCACAGCACAGCTTGGAAGGCGCCCGCTGCAGGGCACAGCTTTGCCTTGTGGACAACGCAGCTTTACAGTGGGGTTTTTCTACTCGATTTCCATAGTGACACAGAGCCGGATTTCTTCATTTCGGGAATAAAATGCCTCCTTAGATCTGCCTGTAGTGGAAACAAAGACTGCTGTGTTTCGTTTTGAATCATATATTTTTCATTTTTCATCACTAGAATAGTCTAAAAATGTTCTTTTTTAAAATCTTTATTTCAGTGGCCGTCACTCTCTTATATCTCCTGATAGTCCAGGAGATGTTTGTTGATAATTTTTTTGGAGTTTTCTAGCATAATTTACACAATAGTTTATATGTTACTTACAGGACATATTCAGTGCTGTTGTCTTGCGTGTGTCGTCCTTAGTCTTATATTCTGAATAATAGAGTTTCTGTTGTCACTAATTAACAAAACCTTAAAATCATAAACACCATCCAGTGTGGTAATTGAGAAGACCCTTTGTAATATTCGTGCATCTCAGAGTTATCATTAGTGATCTGCCTTTTTTTGGTACCAGGGATTGACCTTGTGTTTGCCAGGCAGCTCAATGCCACTGAGCTAAATCACCGACCTGAGTGAACTGGTTTTATGAATGCTATTGACAGTAAATTAGGGACGTGACATTGTAATTAACCGACTAACAGACTTCTATAAGAGGTGACTGCCTTGATCCCTGTGTGTGGTCATCAGGGTCCATAGGGAGCTGTGGTTACGAAAAAGTGTGCTGTGATTTTAGTTTACAAAGATGGAAGAACCCTTGCCTTATCTTTGGAAATCCATTACACAATAGTGCCGTGTTCTCTATGAGAATATAATTTCCGTTGTCTTCTGTTTCTTGATGGACTTACCTCAAAGGTATTGCTATTGCAATACAGAAAAGATCCTACGAAAAGAACCATTTCCTGTGTCTATAGTTCTACTACTATTAGGTATTTGGAAAGTTATTACTTAAGTTCACAGTGAAAATTTAAATGTATATGTGGACTTCTGATATGTTTATTAGATTTATTCATTCTACAAATAGTGAAGCAAATGTATTTCATGAGATTAATTAATTGATAGTAATTCTCACTCGGTCCATGATTGTGTCCTGGATCTGTCTGAAGTTGGTGGTGAGATGTCCAGGTAATGGGCTGTCTGTGTGTTCACCAGTGTATGGGATGAACATTTCCATGTGCTTGCCTCCTATGGAACGTGTTCTAATAATGCACAGCATTTTATATATAATTGTAGTCACATGAATATAACAAAGGGTCTTCAGAATCATCACACTGTAAGTTTATTGTACTTCCAGAGTTTTGTTTGTTTAGTGACAACCCGCTGAAGGAACAGAAGCTCTTACTTAGAATATAGGATTGAGGAATGAACATGCAGGGTATATAAACTGCATATATACCTACAAATATATATTTCTGCAATGTGAAGTAATCATTATTTATGATGAAAAATGACAAAACAGGAAACCTATTGATAAGTGATTTTGGAGTATAGTAACTTTAGCTTAAATCCATAAAAGTACCTTAGCTATAAAGTTAGAAATCCTCCATATTTTAACTCTTACATAATTTATGTTTGATTTATTTTAATTTTAAAATGTTAACTTTCTTTTATTAAAAGTAGTCTAGCTGGGCCTAGGGGTGCAAGCCTGTAATCCTAGCACTCTGGGAGGCTGAGACAGGAGGATAGAAAGTTTGAGTCCAACCTGGGCAACTCAGCAAGACCCTGTCTCAAAAGAAAAACCAATCAGGCTGGGGTGTAGCTCAGTGCAAAGGCTCTGGGTTCGATATACAATAACACACACACACGCACACACACACACGCACAAATCATTTAGAAGAGTTGTCCAATAAAGATAAAAAATAAAATACTTTCTGAGAGATTTCTTTAACTATGTAGTCTTTAGATCTAATGTGATTGTCAATTTTTATTGATATTGCTATTTCAACTGTTTTTCTTTACACAAAATTTTTTACACAAAATTCTGTCTTCAACTTTATTGCTGCTAGTTAGAAGCAATTATTGTGATTTATAACAGTAAATAAAATTATTGATCGCCCACAATGATAAATTGTACGTAAGTGATCAAATGCAAAAGTATCCAACTTTATGAAGTCCTCGCTGAGAAACGTTTGTAAATGCACTTGTACATGTATATATCCCCAAATGCACACGTATATAAATGTTTGTAAAATATAAAATGTTCCACAAAACAGTTGGCTTGCAAACCTCGATGGAGTGCTTTGTGTATTCTCTCCAGCTTTGAAGATGAGTCCATTTTTAGGGTTTCCAATCTGAATTATCATCAGCTCAGGCCCAGACCTGGGTTAGTGTTAACAAACAAAAAGCGACTAGGTGAGTGTCCCCAAGAACTCACAGCAAGATTTCTCATGGTCCCATGGGCCGACGCCTAGAACATGCCCCACACGAAGCACACTTAGTATAAATGTAAAGCGTCTGTGGCTCACTACGTAGCGCTCTTCCGCCTCAGTCCGCATTAAAGTTGCTACAGTCACAATTTTAACTTAATTCCTGTGTCTTTGACGTATAACCCTGCTTTTCTTTTTCTTTTTTTTTTTGGTTTCTGAGACAGGGTCTTACTATGTACTTGAGACTGACCTGGAACTCACAATGTAGCCCAGGCTGGTCTCGAACTCACAGCGATCCTCCTGCCTCAGTCTCCCAAGTGCTGGGATTACAGGCGCCACCCCGCCCAGCCATCTGCTTTTCTTATGACTCCTTCCTTCTCTTGTGTTTAACATTCTGGCCTTTTGTGTACGTAACTATAATAACTGCGTTAACGTGTGAGGCCGCCGCGTATATTGTGAAGCAGCAGTTTGCCACAGAAGAAAAAGGCTGGGCTAAGCATTTGCTGGATGGTGTTGAATTATTCTCGGTTTCTGTCTGGCACAGAGCTACCTGCCTGCTGACACGGTGGAATCAGGCATCCACCCCGCCTACTTCTGCGGCACTCACTGTACCGAAACGCTGCTGAAGACGGAGGTGCCGCTCGTGTTCTCCGCTTTCCGCATGTCCGGGTTTGCACCGTCACAGGTAACCCATCGGGCGTGGCAGTTCTTCAGCTCCCAGGTCTGTGTCCTCCACGGAGGCGGGCTTCGCACCAAGGGGGAGGTACACTGAAATTAAGAGCGTGAGCCCGCTTGTTTGAATACAGCTTTGCGTGCAGTTTATCCCATGGCTCACGTTGTGAATCGCATTTCAGCGCTCAGGACACAGACTTTCTGAGAGTCTGGGGAGACCATGTGGGCTCTTCAGTGGGGACGCTGCTTCCTCTACACGGATAGTAAAATACGGCCAGGGAAGGGCTGAGCAACAGGACCCGAGTTCTGTCGGGCTGTTGTAGTTCGCAGGAGAGCCTCTGCCTTTGCTTCTGCCCCAGGAGCGACCCAGGCAGTGTAGTCTGGTGGTCAGAGCGGTCGCAGCTCCATCATCTCCCTCAGGTGCACAGCCTGCTGCTGTGGGTGCTGTGGCCGTTTGTTGTTTGTGCTGTGATCAGGCTGAATTAAGTTGCTGCACTTAAAGATTTCAGGTTCTTTGAATTAAATCTTCAGGTCAAGGGCTGAGGGTGCAGCTCCGTAGCAGAGCTCGTGCTACCATGTGCGAGGCCCTGGGTTTGATCCCCGGCCCAGGTTCCCAACAAGACCGCAGCTGGGTCAGAGTTCCTGAAAGTAGTAATGCTTAAGCAAAAGATAGGAGCGTTTTGAAGACTCTTGACGTTTATGCCACATCTCCTGATTTTCCTTTCTTGACGTAAGTGAAGAGAGCACCAGTTATTCTGGACTGGGTTATCGCACTTTTGGAAAACTGATCACTATATTCAATAGCTGAAATTTTTCCCCTTTTTGTATTTCGTGTTTCTTTGAGCATTAGCACATTCAATGATGTGCTCATGATTTCATCATTGAGTCAAATCCTAACTGCCTGCATTAGTGTGTTCCTGAATAATTTTTATATGTTCTTTAAAAGTGGAACCCACTCTCCAAACCTCTTCCGTTTCTAAATTATACCTATTTTGCTCACGTTAACCTCGTACTGTTTTCATTGGCACGCGTGAGTCATGCAGAATGGTAAGGTTCTTCTGGGAAATCGGTGGAGGAGTGTAACATACTTGGATGTTCCCAGTCCCACTGCGCCCCTTTCCTCTGCCTCCCCACCCCCAAAGCCTGCCTCCTGCTCTCCTGTCACCACCCCTCCCTCCCTCCCTCGCCCTGTCCTTCTTTCCTTCCTGGCCATCTGTACTTCTGATGAGAAGTGTTCGTTCAGTTCCTTTGTCTATTTATTGATAGGGCTATTTGGTTTGGGTTTTTTGGCGGGTTAGGATTTTGATCTCTTTATATATTCCAGATCTTAATCTTCTGCGGGAAGAGTAACTGGCAAAGATTTTCTCTTTCTGAAGGCTGTCTCTCCACTCTGTTGGTGGTTTCCTTTGCTGGCAGGAACTTTCCTATCGGATGTGGTCCCACGCGTGGGTCCCGTGACTCCCTGGGCGGTCAGAGTCCTACTGCTTAATTCTCCCTGTGCTCTGGCTTCGGGGTTTCCCTTGTTTTGTGTTTGCTGTTTCTCGTGTTCAGGTCTTGCACCTTGGTCTTTTCATTTTGAATCGATTCTTGTCCAGTGAGAGGCAGGGATCTAGTTTTGGTCTTTTATAAGTGGAGATCCAGTTTTCCCAGCATCTTTGAAGAGGCTGTTGTTGCTCCGTGTATGTTTTGGCCCCTCTGTCCAGAATCAGAGGCAGTAGTTGGTGGGTTTGTTTCTGTGTTCTCGGTTCTGTTCCATTGGGCCGCATGCCCTGTGTCCCACCAGTCCCGTGCTCTTCCTGTTACCGCGGCTTTGTAGTATAATTTGAAATCAGGTATTGGGATGCCTTCGACCTTGCCCCCGTCCCAAGATTGTTTTGGCTATTCTGGGTGTTTGTTTCAGTGTGAATTTTAGGATCAATTTTCCTGGTTCTCTGAAGAATGTCACTGGCATCTGATGGGATTTCCCTGGGTGTGTAGACCCCTCTTGATAATGGCCATTCTGATGGCATTCATTCTGCCAACCCAGGAACTCGGGAGATCTTTTCGTCTTAGGTGCCTTCTTTACTGTGTTCAGTGTGTTCAGGGTCTCACATTTTCATTGTATAAGCTTTGTACCCTCCTGGTTAGATCGATTCCTAGGTTTGGTATTTTTTTTTAATTTTCTTTCCAGGACCAGGAATTGAACTCAGGGTCTTGTGCTTGCCACTAAGCTACATCCCTGGCCTGTCTTCTTTGTTTAAGCTATCGTGAATGGTATTGTTTTCTTGGTTTCTTTCTCAGCTAATCCATTGCTAGTGTGCAGGAATGCTGTTATTGATTTTGTGTGTTGATTTCTTCGTGAGATCTAAAAGTCTTCTGCTATAGGTTTGTGGGTCTTGTATGGAAAGAATTACACCATCTGCAAATAGCGATCATTTGACTTCTTCCTTTCCGATTCTTTCTTTCTTTCTCTTCCTCTGGCTAAAATTTGCAATACCAGATTGAACAGGAGAGGTGAAAGGGACATCTTTGTGTCACTCCTGATTTAGAGGAAATGCTTTCAGGTATTCATCACAGAAGGTGTCTACGGGCTTGTTGCAAATGGCTTTCACTAGCTTGAGGTCCTTCTGTACCTACCTATTTTCATCAGGATTTGTATCATGAAGTGATGTTGGATTCTAATAATTTTGTTGTGATGATGATTGTGTTTTTTTTTTCTTCTTTTTGCTTTTGAGTCTGATTATGTAACATGTTAACATTTATGAATCCATAACATACATTTTTAGTATGAAATGGATTACTAAGGCCTGCAGGGGAAACTTTGAATATCTCAAGCTCCACTGTATCAGTTTAGTGATTAAAAGAAAATATGTCCTTCTACTGGCTAGATATATCTTATTACATATATTTTAGCCATTTGAAACTGCATGCCAGTAGATTTATCTGTAAGGGTATTGTATTATTTCTAAGCAGTAATGTTGTTCTTTTTCTTAAATTAATATAAAAATGCTCTTCTAGTGGCTCCCTATTGGGCTATGCATTTGGCCTTTGGAAGTACATATTGTTGCTTTGTTTATATTATTTTTCATTTTATTGCTATTTATCAAATATGAAAACAAGGTTTAAATAACTAAATAGGTATATGTGATTAATTATTTGGGCACAGATTTTATGTTGCAAAGATTATTCATTTTGGTCTAATTAGCAGAGCTTTTTGAAGATTCGTATTTTTAGACACAGGATTAGTTGATTCGTGAAGGATTTGTGAGGAAATTGCTAAATGAAACATACAGATCTCTAGAGTAAAAGCAATACACTCAACTAGAGTACAAAACATTAAACATGCTCAGAAATATGTATTTGTTGATTAGAGTTTCTTTTAAGAGTAACTGAGACTGGAAAGAAAATAGAAGTCTGAATATATCTTCTCTTAAATAACAGAAAGCCATGTTCTAATTAACTTTTTGAACAATTTTATTTTTGCTAAAAGTCTTTTCTATTGTATTTTGCTTACTTCCACGGCATTAAGTCCCACTTCTTAATGGCTCATTCCCTGTGCCCTGTGGGTCCCCTCCCTGCGTGTCAGGCCACTGTACAGTGCTCCGCGGATGCGGATGCTCCCGCAGAGGCCCCTCAGCTTTCCACCCCTCACACCGCGGGATAGCAGGACATGGTCATAATTTGCAGTGAGCCTTTGAAAATGTGAACTTACACATAACTGCAGACCAGATCTCACCTACATGCACAACAAGAATATCGTCTTGCATTCTTGTAGTGACTCTTCATAGTTTAAATAATGCTTCCCAGTCTTATTTCATGGAAACTTCTAACCTTCCTGCTGTGGCCGGCCGATGGGCAAGTCAGGGTGAGTGAGGTGATGCAGCCTGAAGGTCACTGGAGAGCGAGGTCTTTGCTGTGAGGTGCTGGGACTCTGAGGTTAGTTTCCTTTGTTGTAATTCTGTGGTGCGAGCAAATAAAGTAAGGCAAGAAGGGCTGTTAAAAATGTGCCTGAGCTGTGAGACTTGGCCATTTAGAAGTCGGGGTGGTCTGCCTCCCCAGGGCATCCGTAAGTAGTTTTTTTAACCAAACTCTTGACTTTGCTAAGGTCACGTGCTGGGCCACGGGGGTTGGCATCTTTTTTGGGGAGAGCTGGGGCTTGATCCATAAAATTAATGTACCAAACTGTTAACAGTGTTAATCTCATCATCGTTATTTTTGAAACCTTTTCTGCTTTGTACAAGAGCTGTGTATTACTTTTACAACCTGAACAAATGTCATTCAGAAAATAAGTTAAAGAGGCAAAAACAAAACTGGAAAACGAGCCTTTTATGATGGTCTCATTTTTGAATCGTTCTCTGCATTAGCTCTCAGTTTTTGTGTTGCATAGATCTGTTTGGTTTAAGTTGTGTTCTGTTTCAGCAAGAGTCTGTTTGCACAGATGCAACGTTTAGCAGCCTACCGCCTTCATGATTACGCATCTGTGTGATGGGTAGCAGGGGACATGCGCATCTGAGTTACAGCAGCCGCTCAGCCTTGGGGTCCTGAGGAGGGCACACTTGGGTGGGGTGAGAGAGGGACAGTGAGCAGGGCGAGGGCAGTGGTAGCTCGCACACTCGGGCATGGCTTTGCCACATCGGAGACAGGCGGGGAAGCCCCTCACTAGGCTGTGTGCAGAGCATCGTTTTGATTAAATGTAAGGTTTTCGTTGGTTTTGTGTAGTTGGTTACTGCTTTTTAAAAGTCAAAAGTCATTTAATAAGCTTTTTAATGAACTGTTTTTTTTTTTTTTTCTTTTTAAGATTTGCCTGCAGTGGGTCACTCAGTGTTTCTGGAATTACTTGGACTGGATAGAAATATGCCATTATATTGCAACTTGTGTTCTCCTTGGGCCTGATTACCAAGTGTATATCTGCATAGCTGTCTTCAAGCATCTGCAGCCAGAGATTCTACAGCACACTCAAGCCCAGGATCTGCAAGTGTTCCTGAAGGTGAGCTCACAGCGAGGCGAGGCGCTGATGTAGGGTTCACAGCCGGTCCGGGGTGCTCCATGTCGGCGCGTTTCTAGACAGTCGTCTGGTCTCCAGAACAGTTCAGGGGCGCAGTCAGTAGTGTGTGCGTTTTAGAGGTGAGCAGAGTGTGGCGCGGCGCTAAATAAGCTGCTCCAAGTGCACAGCTGGTGGAGAGCTGGAGCGTGTGGTTAGCGTGCCGGGCCTCAGACTTCACTCTGTGCCTGCGCTCTGCGAAAGACCACCTCCAGCAGCACCGCGCCGTCTCGGGTGGCCACTCAGAGCATTCGTAGGGAGGGTCCATGCTTAATGAGCATTTAATGTGCTGTACCTTCGAGGTATTTTCTAAATTTCTATTTTTATAAAAGGTTTTCATGAAAGGCGATTCTATCATAGCATTCTTTTAAGGGTGCTGTTTGTTAATATTTTAAAACAAGATACACTGACTTTTTTAATTATAGTAATGTGACGCTTCAAACTCTGACCCTTCGGAGGTGTGTGATGTGTAAATACGCTCTGAAGGGCGGGGCTCAGCGGAGATGCGGGCTCTGCTCAGCCTGGAAGCCTCTCTGAGGGTGGAAGTGACTCCTCCCCGTGCCCTGCACTGTGCGGCTCAGGCGCCACAGACCCGGCACACCAGCTCTTGTCGTCTTCTACATCTCCTGTAGGCCAGAAAACAGCGTCCCTGTAGACAGTTTGTTCCTTTAATGTTGCATACTAGCCAGTTATTTACACTTAAGTTTCTCTCTGAATACATGGTGGTGATCATTTAATGTTTTCAGGCTCTCAGTCTGTCAGGTAACTCAGAAGGTCTTAAACCTCCTGCATGCCCTGGATTATGAGCTCAGAAACATCCTCAGTGAAAATGTGTGCAGGACTGTGGTTCCAGGCAGAAGGAAAACACAAAGCAGCTTGGCAGAGGTGACTTGGGAATGAGCACAGTGCCGCACACACAGAGTGGGTTCCTTGTCAGTATGGGGCGTTTTCTTCAGGCCTGGAGAGCAGGTTCAGGAATTCAGAACATGCAAATTTCCATTTTCTCAGTCTGAGTATCTCCCTGTTCCATAATTCTCTGCCTCTTACCCCACTTTAGTTCCTAAGTAGCTTTTAGCACTGTCTCAAATTATTATGTGTGTTTCTATCAATCTTCCCCAATGTAATATTTTTGTTCCAAAACAACCGTGACTTGGCCCATCTACAAAGGATGACCAAAATATACAGTGAATGTTTACATTTAAAAATGTGTTACAGTGAAAGACAACACTCCGAAGAACAGGAGGATAAGTGAGTTCACAGTGAGGGAGGGCCCCGGATTTAGCTCAGTGGTTCCGCTGCCTACCTCATAAGCACAAAGTCCCAGCTTCGATCCCCAGTACCAAAAAAATAAACAAATAAAAATATAAAAGTGAGGGAGAATGTTGTGGCTATTTTGAAAGGAATTAGTGACAATATGTGTTTAATTTTTTAAAATTTAAATATTAAAATATTCACCATAGTTCTGATCAACCCTCAGACTTAATTTACAGATTTTCATAGTCTTGAGTTGTGGGTGCCTTGCAATACCTCAAGTCAGCAAAAGACACATTTTTAAAAATCCCTCGTCCCACTGTAGCCATAGTAATTAAGCCTTGGACATTATGTTTTATACTTCCTGACCCAAAATTCAGATGTTTTGAGAGGGAGAAAAAAATTTAATTGTTCTCTGTCTAACTGTGTATCGCAACTATATCACAACTATCTTAATAATCTTGCATAGATTATTTAAGCACATTATTTCATAGTTCTATATATTGTGATTGCTTCTAAGACAGGAGAAGCTAAGTTGAACAGGGGATTTTAACTTTTTGTTGTATATATTTGCAGCCTTCAAAAATTGTACTATACTTTTTAAATAGTGAAATTACTCTTTAAAAAGACATGTTCAGTCATTATGTAAGAATGAGTATTACAAGCTTTTGGTTTATAAATTTATGAGTTCAGTAGCCAGGCCCAATTAAATTAGTTTTAAAAATACTGAAAGCCACAGATGTTTTCAGTTACCACTTATTGCTGAGAAAATATAGATAGGTAGGGAGCTGCAGAAGATGGAAGATGATGCAGCTCTTCTGATTTGTTCCTGCTGTGGCGAAGTGTCGTGCTCGAAGCACTGCTTCCGGAATGGGCGTCTGCGGGAACTGTGCTGGGAGAGGAGCTGTTAGCCCGACTGCTCGTCCTGGTCTGGGCTGAAGACTTTAGGCCTGGGGGCTGCGAGTCCGGGCTCCGCCTGCGCTGCTGTGGACCACAGAAGGGTTCTGCATTGGGAGGACGGGCCGGAGTCTCGGTGCAGAAGGTGTGGACATTGGTGAGGGAGTGTAGAGACCTGAATTCTTCTCCTCTGGGTGAGCTTCTGGAAGATCGGGTGAGATGGATTCTATGATACAAGTGGATGTCAGCAGGGATGAGCTGTCTTTCTCACAGCAGCAGGGACCTCGCTGTGCAGCTGAGCCCTCAGGCACCCGTGGTGAGGACGTGCCAGTGCCTCGCAGAGGTGGTGGGCAGGGCAGAGCTGCTTGGAAGCTCGGGGCCGGGGCCAGCAGGATCCAGCCTCCGTCTGCTCATCTGTCTGTCTGTCTGTGCATCTTTTGTGGTGCAAGGCTGCTGGGAATTCCAAACATTTTGTATCTGTGACCGGTGATGCTTTGGAAAGTCTGTGGGCATCACAATTCTGTGAAAAAAGGCATCCAACAAAATCAGTGTCCTGAGGCATCACAGCTAGCTAGAACGCCTAAGCTTTCTCTCTTTTAATGTTTTAAGAAAAAATGTTGGTGGACTCACATGTAACACACGCACACACACAGGCCCGGTGGCCGTTTGCATTAGTAGCAGCTCATGTGAAGAGAGGCCCGAGTGTTTCACAGACTGGCACTTCTCCAACCCTCTCTAACATGCTAATAGGCTGGCAGTGAGCGTGGTTTTAGTTTATAAATTCAACCTGGGGACAAATGTCACTGAAATGCCAGGCCAGGAAAAGATTGCCTTCCCAGCTGTAAAGGATCAAAGTACATAATTAAAATGCTTCAACTAAACCCTGCATATTATGGCAAAATCAATTTATAATTATGAAAAATCAGATTAATTTCAACCCAATCAGTAAATTGTCAAGAGGGATTTTTTGTTGGTGCAGTTGCAGCTGCTGTTACCAGATGTTGAAAGGTAAGAAATGGAGATCAGACTGAGAAAAACAGACTAGATACCAAGCTGTTAGAAGGTAGAAGTGTGCACTGTACTAAAAATACCATGCGATGGAATAAGAAAAGCATGTCCTGCTGTGTGTTGAGGTTGGCCTTCTGCATTGCCTTTGTATATTTCTCTGCAGACCCTAGCCGGGTAAGTGGGGGTCATTGTTCAGACTCCTTGCACCATAGGGCGGCTGAGGATTTTGACAAGAGACTTATAGAACAATATCTGGAACCAACCAGTGCTTCAGAAAAAGCAGTTTCCCAGTTTCCATAGCCCTGTCCTCTCTTACCCTTGCTTCTTTGTTAAGAAAATCCTGTGTAGAGAATAAAGCAAAGGAAACAGGATTTTCTGAGGCTACTTTTTATCCCCATGTTTCCCCAGCCTCAGGGATCTCTTAGTTAAAGTGCAGCATTGCAGTCCCTAACGTGGATATTGGCTTCACTCCTTGGCCAGCAACAATCTTTGGTTCTGAATTGGATCCAGGCCTGTTCCCAAACAGAATCATCTCCAGTCACTGTGTGTGTCCGAGTGTCAGCCACTGAGAAGGACAATTCTCGGTCCCAACTCTTTATTCTCTCCTGACCCATACCCCCTGCTGAAGCTGCTCTGATCCTAATTTCGGTTGGATACCTACTAATACATTTACACTCTTTCTCAAACCCGCTCAGTCAGAATTTACACAGCAGTGCCATGAATTATAGATTGTTGTATAAAATCTCAAGCAGTCTGAAATATTTAGAATATTTCAAAGTGCTACCTTTGGAGCTTTTTTTTGGGGTACCAGGGATCAAACTCGGGACCTTGTACTTGCGAAGCAGGTGGTGGAACCACTGAGCTAAATCCCTGGCTCCCTTAGGAGCTTTGTAATACTAGAGATTCAACATTTTGAAGATACTGAGTCCCAGAATTTCTGATATACCAAGGAACTCATGAGCTCATAGTGGGAGAAATATCGCTTGCTGGAAGTTTCTTTCTGTGACTTCTGCCTCAAGATGGTCCTCTTTTAAATGGTAGGGTCCGTCACAGCATTTCTAGAAAGGGAAAAGGGAAAAGGGCAGCGCTGCATTCCTATGCTCCTGCCATCTCAGCTGCTGCTTCTGTGAGATTTGACACCGTTTGCTCAGCAAACCCCATTAAATGTGTTGACATCTACTCATTTGTAGCATGCCGACACTATTCCATTTTAACCCGAAGGAATGGATGCTTTTTGCTCCATAATTTATGAGAAGCTATTTCAGAACACCTTGCAAAATATTATGAATTAAATGTGTGGGAATGAGTATCAGAATATACCTAAGCTTAGTCCTGAAATCATAGTCTGAGGGATGCTGTGGACTTGACATTTCTGTGCCTGTTCACCACTGTAGGGGCCCGTTCTTCAGATTAAACTCCAAGCCTAAGGTCTTAGTCACTTAAACATATTTTTGTTTGAGATTAGTTTCTGAAATACTTTCTTAACCTTCAGCTGATGCAAAGAGCTTTAAAAAGTCTGGGTGTAATTTGTTTTCCAGAATAGGTGCCTTCCAGCAGTTTGCGAGAACACTTCGTTCACAGCCTAGAGAAGCGATTCCCTTGTCCTCTTGGGCAGGGGCTGAGGACCAGGAGCCAGCCTCGCCTCCCTTGTTGGGCCATCCATGCTTACCCTGTGCCTGTGCTTACCCAAGGCATCGAGGAACGGTGACCGTGGTTTCAGAGACCATCCGTTTATTTGAAATATGCTCTCATTGCTAACACAGACCCCAGGAATACTTCCCTAGCTCCCATGCCAGTCCTGGCACAGGACTTCATCCCTGCCGCCTGTTCACTCTCGGACCCGCCGTGCTGCTTGTTCTGTGGCTCGTGGTAGCAGTCATGTCCAGGTTGTAGTCAGGACTCAAGGCCGTCCCTGCCCACACTAACTGTGCGCGCTCCTGAGAGAGGTGACCGCACCTGCAGCATTTCAGACACCGTAGAACAAGTCTCTGAGAAGTCTCTCACTGTGAGGACGCCAGAGGTGCTGTGGACGTGGAAAGGCATGAAAGCCACCGCTGCGGTGGTGAGAGACTCACAGGAAACAAAGGAACAAGTCCCGAGAGCAGCTGAGGGCGAAAGCAGCCTGGTGGAAAGACAAGCAGGAGCCACGGCTCCAGGCGCTCGCTCCAGAGGTCTCTGCCAGAGTGGGGGCTGGGAGGCGATGACACAGGTGCCAGGTGAGCCAGGCTCTGTGCCCAGAGGTGCACAGTCCGAGTGCAGAGGGACCTGGCCGACTGTGTCCACAGCGGGTCGGAGAGTTCATACATCCGGGAGAGCTTGAACTTGAATCCAAATCCTGTGCTCCCCTCACGAGTCAGACTATCTGGTGCCGTTGAAGAAATCCCTAGTTCAGTGGACTTCGATCAGGTGCTCTCCATAGGACAAGAAAACAGATGCACATTTGAAACTGGCCTTGTGTGCGCAAAGGAGGAGCAAGGCTGGGTGCACACCATGCCACGTAATGCTGTGTGCACAGAACATGCAGTGTGGAATGCTGGGTTTTAATGCTTTTTGGTAACTCGACATGTGAAGCTCAGGATTAGTGATGAAAGGAAATCACTGAAAGCACATGAGTTGAGAAGCAATTAGAAAATGAGTCTGAGCCTGGCCTCGGAAACTTAGTGACTTGGCAAAACCTTATCTCAAAATAAAAATGTAAAATAGGGCTGGGGATATAGCTCAGGTGTGCAGGGGCTATACACACACACACACACACACACACACGCACACACACACACACGCAGTATGCTCAGAATGAACTTCAAGCCACGCTAGTATAACCTATTTTTAAAGAAGCTTTTCTTGAACAAATATTGTGCTGTTGATAAGAAACAAGATATTACCGTGACTTTGTGTAATGAACACCTGACTGTAAGAAACAAGGCCATCCATATTTACACACAACCCAATATATTTAGGTCTATAAATGAATTTATAATACAACAGTATTTGAAGGAATGGTCTTTTGTCACTGCAATGATAAGCTGTATGGTAAAGTTGTCCATTAACATGAAGCATATGCTGCTTTGAAGACCAGAAGTGAAATTCAGACAGTTTGAAATTTTATTAAGAACTAAAATTGCCTGCGATTTTTAAATATTGGACTGTTTCGTCTTTAAAAGCATTCCTTTCAAACTGTACCTTTAAGTTTTCCTCTTGTGAAATAAGACCCAAATGACTTTGTAACTGTTCTGTGGGCATATTTTACCCGTGTTTAGTAGGACGTGTTCTCTGTAATGTCTAAAATAAAAGTGGTGATTTCCAAAACTAGGTTCTAAGGAAGCAAATACACTTGAGCCAAAAAATATCTTGGCCTTCCTCGGTAGTTTTATGTTTAAATTAACAATTAAAGATGGTAAGTAGATTTTGCTGATGTTTGGCCCAAGAGAGTATCATTGGAGACATTGTCCATGGGCTGTCATCTCTGATTGCAGTTCACATGAAATGAGCCGTAGCATTTCTCAAAACCCATGAATTGTCAGGAGCAGCCCTCCTGGCGTTACGTCTTTGTCCTCTGGTGGGAACAACACACACCTGTAATCCCTTCTGGCTTAGGTGTGCCTTCATGAAGCCACAGCACTGTGATGTGAAGAGCACCAGTGAATTCCTGAGTGTGTCTCAAGTGCCTAACCCAGAACCCCGTGTACAACAATGCAGTGAAAGCGAGAGTGGAGAAGTGAGGGGTGGATCGATGCCTCCGTTACCTTCGGAGTAAGAGCTGGAGGTTTTAGACCCCAGGTGTTAGCCGTAGCTGTGACGGTGCAGTGCTGTGTATCAGTCATTCCGTGAGCTGCTTCTGCAGCCTGGAAGATGGCTGTTCGTGTTTGTAGAGTGTCTCAACGATTCCTCAAATGGTGGAGATTGTCAGTGATACATGGCAAATAAGAAGAGAGTTTTCCGCAGTGTTTCGCAGGCTGTTACTGCTCCTGACCGGTGACACTGAGCCTTTGGAATCACCCAGTTGCCGAGGGCTGTGTGGTGTTTCCCCAGCCCTCAGGCCTCATGTCTCCCTCTCTGACTTGGTCACTGCCAGCACAACGTCTGCTATATGATATGTGTTGTCTTTTATTCTTTCTCATTGCTGTTGTTTTGTGTTCTTGCCTCTAAACTATGAGCTCCTGACAGGCGCCAGTTGTTCAGATGTTTCTGTAACTTCTCAAGTGCCTGGCACAATTACACTGAGGCGAGGATAACTAGTTTTCTGCACATTGCTTTTTTGAGCCTTGAAGGTAGGTACCACACTGAAAGTGTTTGGAAGCTGGGCATGGTAGCGCATGCCTGTAATCCCACACCTGTAATCTCGGAAGGCTGAGGCAGGAGGATCGCTGTGAGTTCGAGACCAGCCTGGGCTACATAGTGAGTTCCAGGTCAGTCTCAGCTACATAGTGAGACCCTGTCTCAAAAAACCAAAAGCCAAACCAAACCAAACCAAAACAACAACCAAGTGTTTGGAGGTATGAAAAGGAATTGTCAGAATTCCCCTGAAGACTGTGAAATTCGAAACACGCGTCCTAACAGTTTCTTCTGGAGGGCCCCACCTGGGACACTCATCCTGACGTTCCAGAAGAGTTTGGACGTGCACAGTACCAGCATTGTGGATCAGACTGTTGGAGGTTGTACGAGGAGTACCTGAGTAACAGACAATTGCGCGATTATCGTTTTATAGATAAACTTTAGGGCCTTTACTAAAAACCTCAAATTTGCAGTCATGCATGGTTGAAATTTTTATATATAAAATATTAGGAAGATTTCGATCTAAGAGGTTTTTCTGCTTTATGTTGGCTGCAGAGCACGGTGGTTCTGGCAGCAGCCTTGTTTGCGAGGACCTGACTGGTTTGTCCCCAGAGCTGCGGGCCGCAGCTGAGAGGGGTGCACCGTTTGGGCCAAGTGGTTTCACCCCAGTGAATGGCGCTCCCGTTTCTGTGTTTCTGTGCTTGGCAGGAGGAAGCACTGCGTGGGTTTCGAGTGAGTGACCATTTGGAGTACATGGAAACGTTGGAGCACAACTACCGCCCTGCACTGCTGAGGGCCATGCGGGGCATCTGCGTGCAGGCCTCCTAGATGGCGAGGTGAGGGCGATTAGGGGTTATTCATGTTCAAGGCAGGCGAAGGCCTTGATTATTTTCTATCTGCGTGTGTAACAACATATGCTTTGAGTCCGTGTTGTAAATCGGCACCGAGAGGTTCTGAGCATGGTAATATATTCAGGCTGGTACTTGCCTGATTTGTGAAATGAATTCCTTTTGTGAGTCCCTCCTCCTGAAAGGCTCTGCACCCCAGCTGGGTATAGCTGTCGTTTTTGCTGAAGACTTGGCGTCAGCCCACCGTACAGTGTCACCTTTATCAGATGACTGAAATGATTTTTAATGACTTTGGGAAGAAGTGGTAATAGTGTAAATAATTGTTTTATTGAGAATCCATAGAGATAAGCAAAAGCAGTTGTTTCTCCAGTATTTGTATCTCTTTGTGTACAAGAAAACAGACAATGGCACAACTGCTTATTTTACATGCGGAAGGAACAGATGATATTTTTCATGGCAAATGGCAGGAAAACTATTGTCCCCAGATATAATTGTTTTTCTAGGAGATGCTTTTGATACCTGTACCAATTTGTAATTTTTTATTTGAAATGTCATGTTTATATGGTTTGTTTAAAAGATAGAGTGGTTATTTCATACTGATAAGCATTCTACTATTATTTGTTGTGTATTTCCTTAGTTGTAGATTTGAATTGTGCTGAACCTGAAAGCATTAAGGGAAATACATTTCTAAATGATTTTAAATGACTGACACTATGTTTTATTTAATAGAAGTCTCTGTGCCAGTAAGATTAATACTGTATGTGAGTTTTTTTTAATAACTATTGCCTTTCTTCTGTGAAAGGTAATACACAAATAAATTGAATTATTAGTCACCAGCTTCTTCAAGATTTTTTTTAGATGAAAGAGCTCATTCTGTGTTCTTTGTTTATATCTGTGTGTACTTTGATCATTAAAACCACCATGCTTTGTCTTCTCCCAAACTTCACTGTGAAAAGCTGTGCCCTGAAACCTGTAATTCTTGTTTATGGTTCCATTTCTCCTCATTCTGTCCCCGAGTTACTGGAAACAGAAATGGAGGAGGAACTGTAATTTAATTTTATGTCACTGGTGACTATGATTGGAAACTGAGGTAAGGTCTAGATGGTAACAATTTAATTTTGAAAACAAAAGTGACTTCAGCTGGAGCCAGAAAGCTTTCTTTTCATTTGATAGATTAGAAATGTCTCATGAACAAGAACTTAGCATTTAGTGGAAGAAAATATAAAATAGGGTAGTTTGTGTAGCTACCATCATGAGTTGTTTTTGTACTTGAGGATGTCCTTCAGCATAGGAATACTCTGTCTTGCCTCGCTTTTTTTAAAAAAAATTAAAATCTTTACGACAAAATTTATTTGTCATTTGCTGAGTAATAGTGCATGCATTATAGCATTCACTCACAAACTATATTTTATGATACAGTGTAAACAAATTTGTGAAAATGCTCATTTATAACGTGTTGAATGTTGCTCTCAAAGTTTCCTGTTTGGGGTTTGGGAGTGTGTGTCGGCGGGAGAGCCCTTGCCCAGCACGTACAGGCCCAGGCTGCACCTCCAGCCTCAGAAAACAGCTGTGCTTGTAACAAGTCTCCTCTGGGTCTTTCAGTGGCTGAACCTCTCTGAAGGTAAGGCGAGTCAAAGAGGGTGCATCTAAACTCCCTGTAGGGTTCTGCATGAGTTTACGATTATGAAAGAACACTGTGCTCCTGTTCAATTTTTAAATTTTCAGATATTTAAGAGATTGCTGTGGTTATTCATTAATAAACATTTTAAGGGCTACACACACAAAGGTATTTTTGAGGTTGAAGTAGCAAGGTGGATGAGACATAGCCCTTCCAGTCAGAGTTCACTGTCCTCACAGGAAGAGGTACAACGTGAAAGCGTGGAAATATAAGGGCTTCTGACTGTGGTGACCTTGCTAAGTTTTGATGCAGTGATGAGGGCAGCTGTTTGGATTGGGTCGAAATGATGCTAAGTGGAGAGACTGAACTCTGTTCTTTGTAGGGCTTGTGCTGTGAGAGGAAGAGAACAGGAAGAGGCAGCTGGCTAAGCATGAGACCAAAGACGCTTCTGTACGGCTGGGCACGGAAGCGCGTTTGTGCTTTGGTGGAAATGATGCAGCGGAGACGGGGAGCTGATGGGGTTGAGGGAGGCAAACGTCTTGAGTAGTTGGAGGAGGGAGCGATGGGACGGGAGGGATGAGACTCAGCGAGTGGTTCCCAGCAGCCAGGTAAGTGAGCACAGACACCGGCGGGCGCTGTGGAAGATGCTATTGCCTTCAAGACCTGGTCAGAAAGGCCATCAGCCTCAAGGATGGAAAGACTGCTAGTTATCCGGAGACACATTGTGAAGTAGCTGTCGCAGGTGGTAGTGCAAGGTCTAGGAACCCAGAGCACTGCTGACTCAGTGGTCACGAGATGCCTGAGGGGAAGTCACAGGTTTTCTCCATTCCCCATTTCCTGTGCCGGGGCAAACAAGGAGGTAAGTGCTTCTAACCCGGATTTGGGCTCAGCCTTGGAGAACAGTCCCCAGGGAAAGCTGAGGGCTTGAAGGTGTAGGGAGTGCCTGGCTGGGACACTGATCCTTCACCCTTATTAAATAAAAGCAAAATAGATTAAAGAACTAGGTAAGAAAACAGAGACATTAAATCTGTTGGAAGATAAAGTAGGTAAAACTCTTGAACATGAAAGGATTTTCTGAACACAGAAACTACCACCTAGAATCAATAAATGGTATCATTGCAAATTAAAAAGCTTCTGCCCAGTGGAAAAAAAAAATCAGTAAAGACAACCTACAAAGTGGGGACAATTTTTTCCAAGTACTCAGATAAAGGACTGATACCTAGAATATGTAAATAGTTAAACATATTAGATTCCCCCAAATAAAAGATCTGATTGAAAAACAGGTAAGTGAAATGAGTAGGCATTTTTTCAGAAGTCGTAGAAATGGCCAGTTAAGTACATGGAATAATATTCAGCTTCTTTAGCTATTAAAGCAGTGCAAGTTAAAACAACACTGAGATTCCATCTTATGCCAGGAAAAATGCCCATAATCAGGAACAACAGAGACACAAATGTTGGTGAGGCCGGAAAAGGAGGACAAAATAAAAACACATGGGAAGTGGAGAAAAGAGTGAACGACAGTGAAAGTCACTAGGACCGCGATGACAGGGTCTCCCTGTGGGAGGGTGTCAGATCGATCACCTGAGAGGAAGCCACAAGACCTAGGAGTTGTTAAGTGCAGTGCTTAAGATCAAGATTTCTAGAAGGGGATTTGCCGTGGCACTGAACAGCTGGGGCACTAGATGACGACTCATCGGAAGGAGGACTATTCGAAGATTTCAGTAGAAAAATCATTTTTGACATTACATTTTGACAAGAAGTTCTTTGGGTAGCTTCAAAATGAACCAGAGTCTTCATAGATTAGTGAAGAAAGAAAATATTGACAGGAAACCTTAAAATGCAAACATAAATGGAAATCAAAGACAGTGTCATGCTCTTTTTTTAACATTCCTATTTTAAATCACCCATCTAATTTTTTCAAGCCTCTGTTTACACAAATATTTCACACCAAACAAGCCATGCATTCTACTCAAGATTATACCACTGAGCTGCATCCCTAGTTCAATAGGCAAATTATTTAAACAAACACATTACTAAAGAAAATGCATACAGGTTCCGTCACACACAGTACTGCTCATCACCTGTAACATGAATCTCAATGAAAGCATGGTTGTAAGGCACATGAAAGGGGAACAGTAGGAGCCGTGTAGAAATTCAAAGGCACTTTTGGATTTTTTTTTTTTAAAGAAGTTAAAAATACACCCAATTATATGACTCAGTTTCTATGTATTTCTCCAAAAGAAGGAAAATACACTTCCATAGAAAGACTAACACATGAACAATAGTTACTCATAATAGTGCCAGTCTGGAAATGACTCCAGATTTCTTTCAGCTGATGAATGTTTAAACAAATTGTTGTTAGCCATAAAGTAGACTCCAACTGAGCAATACAAAGTACACAGTTACTGGCACATCCAAAATCATGGCTGAAACTGAAAAGCATCGTAAGAGAGAAAATAAGCAAGACTGAAAAGCAGTGCACCCCTAATGGTTCCATTAACGTGAAATTCCAGGAAGGGAAAAATCTATCCCGAAAATATTCCTGGCTTGCAGGCCCCAGGTAGTGCAAAATGGGGGAAACTGAGTGGAAGCGGAAAGGATTTCTGTATCACAATTGCGGTGATCGTCATGGGATGACCGTTTTAAAAGCAACATGAAGTGTTGGGAATTTCCCCTCACAAAAGCTAACTTTATCAAAAAGGGATAAGTGCTACAGAGGAAATTTGACAAATTCATCACAATGAAAGAATTTCAATACTGATGATTAAATTGGTTGTAGAATTCTCATGGAACTGTAATAAGGTCAAGGAAGATACCATTCTGGTTTTGTCAGTTTCTTTAGAAGTACTTTTTCATGTGAAAATGATTTCATCGAATGCTTTATATCAAAATGATCACATGATCTCCCCTGTTTTAATAATGTATATATCAATTTACATTGAATTTTTTCCCTCTTAAATTCTTTTATTGGTACATTTTAGGTATACAGCATAATTATATTCATCGTTAGGAACTTGTACCTTTACATGATGTATCTTGGTTCTTATTTTTTTCCCACGCCTGCATTGAGTTTTGAATGCTTAACCAATGTTACATTCCTGAGATTAACTATTCTACTCATGATATTTTACCATTTTTACATGGCACATTTAATTATTAAATTTTTAAGAATTTTCAATGGTCAAGAATATTTACCTGCAGCCTTTTTCCCCCTTTTTTGGTATTTTTGTCAATGTTTCATGTACACTTAAACTGAATGCATATTCTCCTGGGCCCACATATCTCAATTTGATACTGGCTTTTGTCTCTTTAATGATCTTTCTGGCTGTTTGTTTTGTCAATTATTGTGAAGGTAATGTTGAAGATATGATTATAGATTTGTCTTTTTAAGGTCTATCAGTGTTTGCTTCATGTATTTTGATGCTCAGTTATATGTATAAGAATTTTATAATTTTATATCTTCCCAATGAATTCACTTCATTATATCAAAGTGGATGCTTATGAATGACTGTCATTGTCTCTAGTAATGTTCTTTGCTCTGAAATCAAATTTGTTTACTATTAATATAACCACTCTGGGTTCTTTTATTGTTAGTTCACTAGAATTTCCATGAACTTTTTCTATTAATCTACATTTAACCTTATACATCTTTATATTTAAAATACTATTTATGTAGACAGCATAGAATTGGGTCTTTTCCCAAAAATCTAGCATATTATACCTTCGAATTGGGATTTTAGACTATTTACATTTAGTGTAATAATGTATTTGGGTTAAAATTTACATTTATGTTCTTGTTTTTTACTTTTCCCAGCTTTGTTTTTGTTTTTGTTTTTTATTCTGTTACCTTTCTATATTAATGAACTATTTGCATTGTTTTCCATATTATGTCTTTGGTTGGTGTATTACTTATATTTCTTTTAGTATTGATTTCAGGTTTACATTATACATCTTTAATTATCATAGTGTTGTTTTCAACTAGTATCACACCACATTATGTTTATAATAGAACTTTTAAACCAAGAAAATCAGAAATGTCACTGGGTCACTCCAATCCAAAATATTCTGTCCTTTCTCTTACATAGTAAGATTCCTTAACATTGCATTGATAACTTGTTTATATTCCCACATGTTTTCCCTTTCTTTTTTTTTTTTTTCTCTTTTTCTTTTATACTTCTAGGGATTGGACCCAGGGCCTTGCACATGCTGTATGAGCACCTTACCACTAAACCACACACCCCCAGTGCCTTTTATTTTTCTTATTTTGAAACAACGTCTTGCCAAGCTGCCTTGACTGAGCTCAAGCTTGAAATCCTCCTGTTTTAATGCCCTGTGTTTCTGGGATTACAGGCATGTACCATCATGCTCAGCTCATGCCATTTCTTTAGTCTGCTTTTTAACTGTGTTGTAATATGCTTACTACCATTTAATGCCAGCATTATTAACAAGCAAGTGTATCATTAGCACTTTTCTTTCTGGTATGGGGGATTGAACTCAGGACCCTGAGCCCCCAAGTAGCACTTTTAAAAAGCTCACATCTCAGAAATTAAATATAAGCTGCTTAAGAAGAGAGGCAGAAATTCTGGTTTAGTACTAGAAATAGTATCAAAATATTTCCTAAATGAATATCAAATGTTTTGAAATATCACATATAGTGGAAGCAAAGATTGAATTATTGGACTGAATTTGTCCCTAAAGTCTCTTAGGAAGAAGTGACCTGTGTTCTTGGTGTAAAGGAGGTTTCTGTTTGTTCAGTGTGGGGTGAATTTCAAGGAAATGATAGCCCACTAAATTCTTTCAGCAAAATTTCTAACTAACATGTATACCTATAAGAGCTTCTCTTTTTGTGGAAACCTATGTGTCCACTTGTGTACCTTGCTGTGTGCCAGCATTATTTTCACCATAAAATGGATCTGACGGGCTGTGAGACCCAGCCTAGAAACTTGGGAATGATTTGGAAATCAGATGAGAGCATTTTGGCACATGTGCAAAACCGTCAGAACAATTACTTTGGTGTTTGAGTCTGTTTAGTCTCTCTCTCTAGGAACCAGGAAGAAGATGGACAGTCACATGTCTAAATGAGATAGTTACAAATAAAAGACCAGACATCTGATGTTTCATGATCTCTCCTAGCACAGTGCTGCTGGATGTGGATAATTTTTTCCCCATAAACCCAGCCTAACTACACTTTATTACGGCTGATAGTTGAGACACTGGTCAGCAAACTCAGCAAACTGTAATCTACTGGTCAAATCTATCCTTTGAACTTTTTTCACAAAGAAAGTTTTATCGGAATAGAGTGCCTACATGGGTCTGTTTCCTCTATGGCCACTCTCATGCTATAGTGGCAGAATCAGGGAGTCAGGCTTGCACAACCTACAGCTGCCCTTTTCTGGCCTTTTAGGAAGAGTTGCCAACATTTGGGCTAGAATGCTAATCACACATAAATATCCAGATTTGCCATAGGTAGAGTAATCTTTTTAGATGTACAGTGGACCCAGGAGGACATCTAACCCTAGACTACCGTCTACATAATGATGAAGCTATGACTCAGAGAATAAAGATGTCCAGAAAGAATTCACAGAGCAAATGGTGCCCTGGCAGGACTGCACACTCAGGACCACAGCGCACCAGAACCCTGACCCTGCCATCTGCAAGTTATCTGAATCTTTGTGTCTTCATTTTCTTGCTGATAAAATGAGCATGACTGTGGTATCTACTCCC